CCACACTCCCGGCGCGCGAACAACGCACGTCGTGGGAGTAGGTTGGCTGGCATACGTAACATGTGGCCGAGCCATCGGAGTCTGGTTCGGGAAATAACGGTGCTGAGCGGTTCATTTCCTTTTCCTGTGCCGTAAACAAGGCTTCGAACACGCTCGTTGCTCACGCGGTGTTCCCACCAGATGTGAGCTAAATTGCGAATGCACCGATTGTCGAACGTAACTAGCCTCTTTATGTCCACTGATCTAAGGGGCCAGGTGTCGCAACCGTAGAGTAACGTCGAACGTACCGCTGCATTGTACACACACTCTACCCTTCAGGGCGAGAGTGATGTCGCGCCGGCGCCATAGGTGGCGATGGTTAGCAAAATCGCTTCGGGATTTTGATATACGGTTCGCGATCTCATCTTCAATACCACGGGCGCTGATACAACTTCGCAGGTAGTTGAATTTCTGAACGACTTCTAGCTAATCCTCACCAAGCGTCAGCACAGGATGCGATCCTTGCCAATCTTGTAGAAACGCTTTGCACTTCGATGGTGCAAAGTAAAGCCAGAGGCAGCTGACAGCCAGTGATAATTTGTCCAGTGCAGCTTGGCATGTCTGGAAGCTGTAACAGATGTGGGCAATGTCGTCTGCATATTCCAAGTCAAGACGTCGTTCTCCTGGGAGCAGTTCCACACTTTCTAATTCGTGTCTTGGGAACGCGATTTCCATGAATTCTTCAATAGCGAAGTTGAAGAGGAAAGATGACAGCGGACATCCTTGTCTCACACCGCTGGAGATATTAAAGGGCGACCACAGCTTGCCGTAAGCCCTCACTCTGCCTGAGCTACGCGCGTATAATGCTTGGGTGGTGGTTACATATTTCCCAGGTAAACCTTTCCTGAGTAGACAGTCCCAAAGTGCAAGTCTATCCACCGAGTGGAATTCAACTTTGATATCGAGGAACACCACTACGGCGGGCCACCAATATACGTGACGGTGCTCCAACAACTGGCTAACAGAAAAGATGTGGTCAATGCAGCCACGACCTCGACGAAACTCGGCTTACCCTTCACGATCTAGCTTTCACAATTGCCAGTCAGTTTGCGAAGAATGACAGAGGCAAGCCGTTTGGAGGCGCTTGAGATCAGACTGATTACTCCATGGTTGCAGCATTCTGATTGCGAGCCTCCCTTGAAAATTGGAACTAAGACGGAGAGGCTCCAGTCAGTTGGGACAGTTTCCTGCTCCCACAGTTTCACTAGTAACTCATATAAATCATCCACTAGAGCAGGTCCCCCGAATCTGAGTAGGGCTAGCGTAGGAACATCCGGTCTCGCGGCTTTATTTAACTACAACAGTGCGAACTCACGTTCGACTTCTGAGCGAGAGGGTGGATCCAAAGGCACGGCACACGGAACGGGGCGATGACTGGCCGGCGAGAAATCTAACAATGTCGACCGATTAAATTGCCTTTCCAATTGCTCAGCCCAACGCTCCAAGCGTTTTGAGAAGTTGTAGATAGGCTGTCCACTCTCGTCACGTATAGTTTCACTAACACCAGGTTCTCTGCTAACCGTTTCTCTCCTCAGAGCGAATAACTTACGATGTTTGCTATGGGTTGCGGGTATTTCCATCTCTGATTTACGATGAGACCAGCAGGATCTGCGGTCTCTCTTCAGGCTAGCACTGAGTATTTGCCGGAGATCATTGCCAGTTTCATTGTGTTCGCTTCCAGCCGGAATATGCCGCCGAGCATTGATAAATGGAGGCACATCACTTATTCAGGAATTTATTTCCCTCCTCCAATATATCAGTGGCACTGAAGTTATCCCTTCCGATTGGACCCTAGAGGATGTCATGGCCGTCTTCAATAGGGTGTACTAACTGACTGTGCCAACCGCTGGAGGGCTAGTCTCATCTGTGTTGATTTCAAGATTCTCGCAACTCTGCTTCTAAGGAGGCAGTCTTGGGTAACCATGGGCATCGAAAACAATACACCGCGGTTCAAACAAACCATCATTACTGGACTTACTCCAGATAAATGAAGAGTTGATGGTTGAGTCAGTCGCACACGATGTTCCACTAGGCAGTAGCGAAGATTCAGTCCTAAAATTGCATTGCGTGTTATCCCATTATGGTTGATAAAGAACGTGAAACCTAAAGAACTATTACTGATTATATCAAGTTTCATAACTTAGCGACAACCATTGACTGGGGCCTAAAGACTCAGTTCAGCGAACAACGCATGAGGTGAATTGAAAGTAAAGTTAACTGGGTCATACGAGCAGCTTGAAAAGTTGCACCATTACAGGTATCACACCGGCCCAACAATTGGATCCAAAGGATGACACGTAAATGGATCAACAGAGGAGATGAGATTTGGGTGCAACACATGCTGAGCCCATGTGATCCCTCTTGGCAGAAGTACAAAACAACCACAAATTACGGCATGTCAATTACTAGGGCAGACAAGTACAAAGATCAGGATAATATGCTATTCGAGTTCGCGAGGAACAAGAAAATGCCATACAGGTATTTGGACGAGGAAAGGAAGGTTAAAATGGAATACCACCACTCATGATGACCAGTGGCTTAACCACTACTGCTGTGGATTACGCGAACGCTCTACTCCTGCAGTTTGGCTCGGTGGCTACAAATACCATGGAACCATTGCTCTAGCAACTCCCAATAAATACGGTCGGTTTATCCAGTGTCAACTTTACTCCAGAGGCCGTCGTGAACAAAATACAGTAGCTCCGGAAAAACAGTGCCTCGGGAATAAACAAGATCTGCCCAAAGGTATACAAACTCTTACTTCAACCACAGCAATACTTCTTGTAGCGTGGTTCCAGGATCCGTTCGACCCCATTCACTCCATCTAATTGGAAAAGTGGAATCATCAATCTGATATACAAAGGAGGTAAGAGACCAGATCCTGCTAACTACCGACCTATTACTCCCCTACCCGTTTTATCTCAAGTAATGGAATCGGTAATTGCAGATCT